AAGCAGATCGCTCTATGTAGTGCAGGAGTTAAGACTATGCCCCGTCCCGTAATGTCTTCACAGCAAGTTACATACACACAAGGACCTTCTAAACGGGGTAGTTCATATAGCAGTTAGTTAAACAAAGGCAGGGCCGCGCCATAGCTCAAGCGGGATTTGTGGTGGACAAAGTGGCGCTGGAGCGGATTTTCTCCGAGTACTTCGGTTTCCCCTGCCACAATCTGCATCCTACCAAATCCTCCATCATCATAATCACCCGGGGCAGGTACAATATGCCAATATGCCGTGCCGAGTGGACCCAGTCGGACTCCGCCCCCCACTAAACGAATTAAAAAAATTAAACAAAGGCATGTTACGTATCGGGGAAGTAGAGGAAGGAACGGCCGTTACCCGCAGTACAAGATTAACGAAACGTGTAAGGGATCCCTCCCTTAATGTCAGAGACCAAGTTTCACACCCATACAGAAACACAGACAAAATTATAGTTTTGTATATTCTAATTTTTATGTTTTTGGACAACAGACGAGAAGACAGAAGGTTGTGGACTGAATGGTAGCAAGCATTACCCGAGTTCAATCGCCTCTTAATTTCCTCCTCAACCAGGTTTTGATCTGTTATCGTTGTTCCAAATATCTGAACTGTACCACATTATCAAAACATCTGTTTCCTATCTTAGTTAGTTAGTTATTTGGAGAGGGTGGGTTTCCCCATGCACTTAGACCTGTATTGGTCCACTGTGCTTCCCTCTATGATTTCTACCAGTCTCTATATCCTACCGGTATTGGTACTTACCGTCAGTTCCGCCCAGCCAACGAGACCGGGTCTACTGGCTGAGGTATCCATAATGCTTCCCCCATCTACCGGAGGTATTAGAGACTGCAGTTGGGCGGGAAACGTCCGCAATTTGGCTCAGTGACCTCCTTAGGAGATATGAGGTTCTTTTACGTGCCGTAAAGCTACGACACGGGACCCACGGCTTAAAGTCCCTCCCTGAGGACTTGTTCCCTGAATTTACCGCTCTTAAAAATTCGACGACCTCCGCCGGGTATTTGAACCCGCGTACTACGAGTCATGAGGTGGGAACGTTACCTCTATACTACGGAGGCCGCTTGTTTCCTATCTTTATGTCATGATCTTGCCCTGCACTTTGGTGACGAGACAGTAACATAGTATACTTAGTTTTCTCTGTGTTTACTTCTAGACTAACCTCTTTACTTGCATCAATTAAAGTTGTGTGTTTTTCTTTATGGTATCTACATTATCACCCAGTAGACTCACATCATCGGTGTAGACCAACAGCTGATGTGTCCCGTTTAAAAACATAAAAACTAGAATATGCAAAACTATAACTTTGCCTGTGGTTGTGTATGGGTCTGAAACTTGGTCTCTGACTATAGGGAGGAAGGAAGACTGAGGGTGTTTGAGAACAGGGTGTTGAGGTGAATATTTGGACCAAAGAGATGAAGTGACAGTAGGTTAGAGAAAATTGCATAATGAGGAGCTTAATAACTTGTACTCTTCTCCAAGTACAATCAGAATGATCAAGTCAAGGAGGACGAGGTGGGCAGGTCATGTAGCACGAATTGGAAAGACGAGGAATGCGTATAGGATATTGGTGGGAAAGCCAGAAGCAAACAGACCACAGGGAAGACCAAGGCGTAGGTGGGTGGACAATATCAGAATGGATCTTAGAGAGACAGGATGGGATGGTATAGATTGGATAGATCTGGCTCAGGACAGGGATCAGTGGAGGGCTCTTGTGAACATGGTAATGAACCTGCGAGTTCGATAAAATGCTGGGAAATTGTTGAGTAGCTGCAGAATTGGCGGCTCCTCCAGAAGGGCTCAGCTCCACGAGTAAGTAAGTAAGGGATCCCAGTTTTGGGGCCGAACTGACAAATCAAAGTTACGAATAAACTGTATTTGGGAAACGCTTGTCAGCATTCTTCCGAATCTTGCTCCTTCCCGGCGGTTTCTCTGATGTATTAGTGGGAAATCTGGGCTCTCATCCCAAGATAAAGAAGACAGACTGAGAAGTTTAGAACCTGGATCAAACAGAAGTAACAAGAGGCTGGAGAAAGCTGCAAATTGAGCAGCTTCGTAGTAGTACTCGCGTAAGACACATGAAAAAATCTTAGTCGGAGAACAGACCATCTGGAAGACCTAAGCGTTGATGGAAGGGTGGTATTACAAAGGTCCTTAAAGGAGACAGGGTGACTGTGTGGAGTGCATTCTTCTGGACAAGGATTTAGACCAGTGACGGTAAAACACGATAATATTCCTTCTGGTTCCATAAGGGTTGAGTGCGGAGGGATATCTTAATTACATATGCTAATACTACCTTCTCATGGATGACTCTTCCCCACGAAATCACGTCACCTCAAGCCTTGAACAGCCAGAAGGTCCTCTATGAAATGTTTTCTTGGTGGAGTGTACAGGAGTAACCAGCCGAATAGAACAGAAGCTTGTCTTAACTTTAAACATTTCCATATGCAACGAAACGGAACGCGACAGCCAGCTAGCCAGCAGCACGGTGCCGCGACGCGCATGCAGTGCGTTGCACCGAAGATACTTGTGGGGATGGAGCGGAGTGGACCGGAATGGAGCGGAGCGGATCCGCTAGGGAGCCAACTCTTCAGACTCCTATAAGGAATCAAGGGAAACTTGCCACTGAAGGAAATGGAAGGAGAAGAAAATCACAGTCATGAATCAGGGGAGCAATGGATCAAGTACCATCACTAACAATCTACGTAATAACATAAGATTCTACGCCGTCATGTCTACAGAACCTAAGACAGTGCCGTGGAAATAACTTACATGACTCCGTAACGACTGGTACAAACATCACATAAACAGGGTAGGATACTTTCCAAAGCAACTATCATAAAGTAAGGGGAGAAAAACAACCAGTGATGGGCATATGCGGTGTACCGCCTCTGTATGCTCACCAAGAAATCAAAAACATCTGATGATTTGTGAAAATGTCGGAGAATGAATCAGTCATTGCGTGGGAAACACTACGTAAAATGCAATATTGCGAAATCGCAGATGGGCAAGCTCGTTTTATTTAAAATCGGCAACTCCGCTTCTCAGAAACATTCCGCTTTAGGTAATCCAGAACAGAACAGTCGTAGCGGCAGTGAAACTTTCCTAGAATGTGAACAAATTCAATACTTCCTTGCTTTCCCAAGCCATAATTATAACATACTGCGATGCACATAGCCTGGCACGTGGACACGCAAGACGATTCAGTGGATGGCGCGGAGGGAACGCAACAGAAGCCACAACAAGCAACAGTAAACAGGAATCGCTAGACAACAGAGCAAAATACTTGCTTCTGATATGCAGAGTTTACGTCTAACTGCGATATCACACTCGTAACGGTGTGAATGGGCGTAACCTAAACACATTTCGAAAAGCAGTACACTGGATGCCAGCTGCTTGTTCCGCGTTGCTTCGTGGGAAACTCGACAGTGAAGGGAATGACAACAGTTCAAAAATAAAGATGGGAGAATTATGCGAAAGAAAATTAAAATTATCGATTTCGTTCTCTGACTTTGGAAGAAGTGAATTTTAGGGAGGGAAAAGAAAACGTCCAACGACAAGAAAAGGGGTTCGACGGAGGGTTTATGTGAATACAGTAATGAATCACCGATTACCACAAAAACATGGCATTTCTTAATGAGCTGAATAACCTTCAACTTTTCAACAAAAGCCCTGCAGCATATGGACAGAATTTTACATTTGAAGAGAGGAAGGTACTGTTTTGTAATACGAGGCACTTGAGCCATTCTTCAACACAAAAAAGAGTTGCAAACAAAAGCAGAAAAGAAGGGGAAGACAGAAAGGAGAAAAAAATGTAAAATAGAAAAATCAGCATCGGTGAAGAAAAGCAGGGATTCACTCAAAACAAAATAGACAATAGTTTCTCCTCAAGAATGTTTAAACTTCGTAACGCCAGCAGCAACACACAAGTTCGTCGCCATGGATTTGGAAAACACGTTTCCCAAGAGAATGGTACCATGAAGTTGGTTAAAGCTGCGTTCAGACGATGCAGTTCAAGACCGTGACTTTTCCGCAGCGCATCATGCACTCTATCAGCCACACTTAACTGCAGGAAATACGTGCACAGCGAACCCCAGTTTTCAGCTGCACTTTGCAGGGGAAAAAATGCAAATACTTCGGCAATTTATTCCGTCACAAGTCAATTTTTACAGAATTTCAATATGGGTAGACCTGACAAGAGTTAAAAATCCTATGTATCTGTAAATTATATTTTGTTATTTGTTATTTCCGATACACCATAGCAGTACATACTATTTCCAACACAAAACTAGTATACTTTGTGTTTCATTCAACGCATAAATCACTGTGTGATGATAACTAATACAGTTTCTCCCCATCCGCTTTTCAGCTTCACAACAAAAGAAAAATCCTCAGTCCGACCCGCGCATTTCATTGGCGGTATGATGGGGTGAGTATGAACAAGCCCAAGGCATCAGGTTCGAAAACGTAAAACCAGTTCACAGTGAGCTGACGAGTGCTGCAGAGCAGGTGTAAAAACGCTGGCTGAAACTACTTTTATGGGTAGGGGGCAGAGAACCTCATCCACGGCATACGTGTCTGGGTTAGGGAACAGTCTGTATATCGTGTGCAACGAGGGTGAATCACTTTAGGGTGCGCACCTTCCGATCTTACGTTATGGGTGTCTCGCAATTTTGCACAAGAGTGTTTCTCAACTGATAACTAGTCACTGGGTAACTAATTCAAAACTTCATTCAAAATTAATTAAATCAAAAAAAAAAAATCTGAATTTCATAAACCAACCCCAAGTTCTACATAGAAATGCGAGAGATGCTGTATTTCGTAAAGCCAATATTCATATTCACTACACACAGTTTTCTGGAGACGTTGCCAATATTCCGAACTTCAGGCAGCGTTGCGACATGCAGAGTGTAGGGTGCATTTCAATAAGAAGCATTCTGGCTGTTTCCGCTTACCTGACATAACACTTCCAATGTCACAGGGTAGACCATATGCTCGACGATCACCCTCAAGACGGTATTAGGGCCACCCTGAGTCTCGTTCTGGCCGGAGAGGGCTGATGCCGCTTGTAATGCAGCCTGTGCAGACGCGTTCTGAAAAAGAAATATGTACATACTCGTATATATACGTATACAGGCGTATATATCATTATCTCCATATGGAATTTCACATTCATAGTAACAACGTTCATTAGTCAATGCTGACAAACAAAAATATCAGATATATTCTGCATTCTATAATAAAAAGAGAACAAAATTAATATTTTGGAAAAAATCTATAACTGCATAAAGTCACAGGCATTGATGGTTGACACACTGACACAATCATTTTGTTATTCAGTTGCAAACTGCCGCGCTGAGAGACCAGTCACAGACCGCACCAGTGTGTCTCTGTATGTGTATGTGTATGTGTGTGTGTGTGTGTGTGTGTGTGTGTGGAGGGGGGGGAGTCCCCCCACCATCACCATCCTAAGCAGCTGACACAGAAAGCAGGCATTAACACCAAAATGAACATTCAGCTGCCAATGCCAACATTCATTAATATCGTCCTAGTCGTTGTAATAACTTTTTCTGGCCTCAACGTGGAACTACTATAGCAAAAAAAAAAAAAANCAAGGTACTTGTTTGATGTTGTCTTCGTCCTGTCTTGTTCAGAAAACATCAGCCCCCAGCCCCAAACAAATGAATAAGAAAAACTGCCCACTTGCTAACGACTTGAGTTTGAAAGGAATAAGAGAAGACAGACAGAACCACATAGAGACACACGATATTACAAGCCTATCTGTTCTTGCGAAATTTCTGAGTGGCTTTTAGTGCCCGCAAAACGGCGCCCTCTACTTATAGCTTAGTGGGAGGAAGTGCGGTGAAACGGAAGAGGGGACTTCATTTCCGACTGCAGGAAACGTTAAGCTTGTTCGAGTCGAGTTCACTGAGAATACCCTACAAAGTGCCCGTAATAACGCGCCGTGACAACTTATGGCCACCTCTCCAAACGGAGAATTGCATGAAACCCGAGGTAGTGTTCCGAAACTAGCATGTCGCAGTGCCACTTTCCAAGCAGTACATTATGTATGCAAAAACGGAAAGATAACTCATACGGAGAACAGGAATTATCCAAACGCGAACTCTTACGATCATAATGTTTCAATGAAAAGTCTGCTTAAGTTATTTTAAATGCCAAAGTCAATAAAAATTAAATATGATATAAGGGTTCTTGGATCTCATCACGAGTCCATTTTTGGCTTCGTTCGGTTTTCTTTTAATTCTTATACTTCGACATCAGAATAATTCTATATCTTCTAAGTATCAAAGTTATTTTGATCGTTCTCTCAAACAATCGATAGCTAAAGACATGTTTCGTTTCTCTTCCACACAATGCTCATTAATCCTGCTTTGTTACAGAAATGCCTTCCATTGTACCCTTGCATTAGAAGAGAGAAGCAAAACCGCCGATCCGCCTTGTATTTGTCAATGGGTTCGACAAGGTTTCCCGAGATTGTTCTAATTTAAATTATTCTCCATGGCAGAGACAAATACATTTAATCGTCCAAAATGAACATACCAACAGATAATTCATGGTATTTATCGGAAATACAAAGCTAATGGGTTATATACCATACAAAAACAAGCTGAAACCGAAGTACTGATTTCATTAGCAATATTACACTAAATAGTAACTGAATAATGTAATACTTCCTCAGACAATACCGCGGTAAACCAGTAGGCCAATGCGTGTACGTTTCCCAGACTGTTTAACTACGCCTTCAATCCAGAACAGAATATGATACACTGACAGGTCGATAATATGAATTAATTCTGACAAAGCAGTCGCGATGTAATTTGTATTAGTCAGCAAGTACTGGACAAGAACCGCAAACGAACCTGTCAAAATAAGAGACCTGTGGGTCTAAATCCAAGCCAGGCCTATACCGATATTATTCTAGTTTGTTGGTTAATGGCGCTGTTGGTATCGAAACTATACAGCGACGGATGATCCATCTGGAAGGAAGGGGTCGTTGCCTAACAGAGACCCTATCCCGGAATTTGCCCGGACGGACTGCCCTAACAACGAAAACTATGTCGGGATAACCGACGTGCCGGCTGAATTTCAAATAGAACACCTTCCGAATTCAATTCAACTGCTTTATCACTGCTGTGTTCCGATGAATTACTAAATTACAGCCACTGTTCTCTAGAATTTGATACAGGCAGAGTTCGAACCCTGAACACTGTTTCATACAATATACTGTCATGTATCCAGGGTATGCATGACTAATAAGACGTTTTTTTGGATTTTATTATTGTATTTATTGGACCTTTATACCCTTGGTTACAACAGTTCACACATCACTGACACACTGAAATCTTCTTCCAACTGAACTTCGTTGTACTCCTTCAGTTCTGATCCTCATTTGATTCTCTTCTGCACTACTCGTATACTCGAGGTGGACCCATAGAAAACACCGCTTCCACTATTGTTGTATTTTCGTCTGAGTATTCGTTGCCGCGGTAATGTTTTAACCGAGTCGGTGCATAGCGATGGGTCTACATGTCACAATTCGTTCATAATTACGCAACTTTATTTTGAGGAAAGAAAAAGTTATGATTGAAACAACTGAAGTTTCTGCAATTAGATATGGAGTTCGGTATTTTGGTTCCAATTCAACAACACCGTAAGTAATGAACTCTATTTCAAACAAAACGTATCATTAAAACATTCTAAAACTCGTTACGTGTAAACAAATCTTAACTTCGGCCACATTCTGTATGTAAAGCAAGGAATAACGCAAATTAAATAAATTAAAAACAAACATAAGCCAAACATTTAAAACTTCCAGGTATACTTCATCTCCAAAGCAAACTCCTTTAAACATCTAATTTCCTTAAACTTGAAAAAGCGACATCTCATCTTAATTTCATCGGGGAGACTTCCGCCACCCCTTCATTACTGGTACCGTGATTTCGCCTCCCCCCCACCCCCCCCACCCCAGTCGACATGAAGTTAACTAGGATTTCAACATGTTGCGAATATATCTCATGCAACATCGATTTTCTCTTTTCGTCTGAACTTCTCAGATTTGCTTGTTAATTTTATTCGACTCGAAAGACGAATACAACTAGCTGCGTTCGTCTAGAAGCACGGCGCATTCAGTATTCGTAATCTCTTCTGTTACTGTGTCAGATTCTAATGAAAGAATGAAAACGTAAGCTATCTACGTAGATTAATAACAAACTCCGTGATGCCAGGTAAAAAGGTTTACAGTTGCACGGCTGGTCTAGAAATCCTCAGGTTTCATAGAACCAGAAGCTTCGCTCGTTCACGGCCTCCTGCCACCGTCGTCCATACTCTCACAATCTATTTTTAATAGTATCCTCACATTTATACAAAGGATACCAAGCTGAAATTTTCAGTCTACTATTCTGTATGCACTGCTAGAGCAGTCGGTATGTCAACTGGCTACGGGCTGACGAGAGAGGGGTCGGATTTCCAGTCCCGGTAGGGCAAAGAATTTTCTTCACGTTGTCTTCCCCGGTTCTGGGGCCCACCCAGCCTCCAATTCAACAGGTACCGAGGGTAATGCGGATGGAGCGTGAAGCTGACCACTAACCTAAAACTAGTGCCGAGGTCAAGAAAATGTGGATTTATACATCCACTCCCCCATACGCTTTCATGGCGTTGTGATTAATTACTTCAGCACAGTGATAACTTTACATTTTACCTTATAATCTCACAAGTTTTACATGCTCTACACAGTCTCGTCCTAGTAGGTTTAATCATCGTAATAATCCTATTTGAACAGTAATTATAATGCTCCTCATTGTGTAATTTTCCTCAACCTCCAGCCGCTTGCACACTGTTCCTCGGTACGCTGCTCTCACACACGCCCAATCCACGTGCTTCCCTTGTCGGTGGACACAAGGCAACGTCTGCAATCGACTGGCGAATCTGCAAGTAGCTGGTTACAGCACATATGAAATAGGTAAGATTACTGCGCGCTCCCTCAACTAGCACTTTCAGTTACAATTAAAATGGGCTCCTACAGGGAATCGGGTACAGCGGTTAAATTTTCTGTTCCATGTAGATCAACACAGGGCTCCAATCTTAGTCTGGAATCCTGTTACACCGACAGTTTCTTTTAATTTCCTCGGCCCACCGTCTCCAGCAAATGCAGCTTCCAACAGCAAAAACACCGCTTCATTCCATATCCGTTTCAATAAAACACTCTGATCGCCGTCAGTTCCGGTATGGCCTTAAATTACAAAGGTATATGTAGTTGACACGGCGTCGTTCAACATATCAAGGGACACAAATCTTCTGCTAAAACAATCGCTTACGCTCGTCCGAGGGCTTCCATTCAAACAGCTAATAACTGCATAATTAGTGGCTCTGGAAGGAGGCGATCGGCGCCTATTTCAACAAACTATCCCGACATTCGCCTGGACCAAAGATAAACATACGAGACCCGACAACACGGCCGGGATTCGAACAGGATACCTCCAGAATATAAGTCACAAACATTAACAATACGGCCCGTTTCTGCCTTTCGAACAGATGACTGCACTGTCAAACTACTTTCTCTCTACTACTAAATAATTCTCATGAAAACGACTTCATTATTATGATACAACTTGAAATGGGAGTTACAGCTGTTTACTTCTGAGGTACAGAACTGTGCAATGAATTAGTTAACTTCACTAAAACTCGATTCTGGCCCGAAGTCGCGTTTAGGATGCGCATTCGCGTGTCAAATCAATGTACACACGTTATATCAGTCGCTGCCTGCGTTCAACGCCGTCGTTTAGATTCAAACTCGCACGAAAACTAGTGCATCTAGTACAGCAGACAAAACTCGTTACTTGCTTTATTTGTGGGGAAACTTCCAGAAAACTTGGGTGCGGCTGGCAGAGATAAAGATACTTGCTGTCTTCTCGACTGTGATGATGTGTTTTACCTGACACGTGTTATGACATGCATAATAAAATCCGAGGACAGAAAGGCTGTACTTATCTACGATATATATCCAGAAGTGGCTGCAGTACAAGGGACTTAGTCCCAAACCACTAACAATAAAAAAATCTATATATAATAGGGG